GAAAGGGATTGGCAGTAGCAGGACACTGCTGGGGGTGGGGGAGAGTGGGTGGGATGGGGAGGGGTATATAACATCACTAAGGGCTAAGGGTACTTGATTTCAAACCAGACAAAGTGGGGACCAAAGGCAGGCCCAAACTTTATCTGTACAATGACCACTTGTCTACCTAATTCTGAATTGTACCCCAAATCCTTAAATGAAAACTAAAAAAAAAAAGAAAGAAAGAAAAGAAAAAACATTCCATGTTCAGGGAATGGAAGGCTTAATATTGTTAAGATGGTAATATTTCCCCAATTGATCTATAGATTTAATATAAGCTTTATCAGAATCCCAACTGACTTTGTAGATATTGACAATCTTGTTGTAAAATCTACATGGAATTGCAAGAGACCCAGTAAAGCCAGATTAACCCTTAAAACCAAGAATGAAACAGGAAGACTTATAGGTCTCCATGCAAAACTTACTACAAAACAACAATAAAGACAGAGTAGTACTGGTATAATTAGACAGGACATATAGTACAATAGAAATGAAAGTCCAGAAATAAACCCATAATTTTCTATAACGGTGTCAAGTCAATTCAATGTGGAAGGAATGATCTTTCAACAAATAATGCTGGAACAGTTGAAAAACCACGTGAAATTGGACTCCTACCTCATACCATACACCAAAATTAACTTAAAAAATGGATCACAGACCAAAACGTAATATCAAAAACTATAAAACTCCCAAAAGAAAATACAGGAGTCTTCATGACCTTGGGCTAGTCAGTCTTCTTAAGGAACAAAAAAGAAAAAATAAGTTAGACTTCATCAAAATTAAAAACTTTATGCTTCAATGAATACCTTCAAGAAAGTCAAAGACAATCCACAAAATGGATGAAAATATTTGTAAATCATTATCTGATAAAGGACTTGTATCTAGAATATACATGGAACAGTTACAACTCAATAATAAAAAGACAAATAACCCAATTTTAAAAACTGGGGAAAGGATCTGAATAAACATTCCTCCAAAGAAAATAAATAGCCAATAAGCTCAAATAAAAATGATCAACATTACTGGCCATCCAGGAAATGCAAATCAAAACCACAAAAAGATATAACCTCACACCTAATAAGTCAATAATTTAAAAAAATCCAAATAATAATAAGTGTTGACAAGGATACGGAACAACTAGAATTCTCAAACTGCTGGTGGAACTGTAAAATGGTACCGTTGTGTCAATGGTGCACCTAGCAGTTCTTCAAAAGATTAAACACATAGTTACCATATGACTCAGCAAGTCTACTGTTAAACATATACCCAAGGCCAGGCTCAGTGGCTCAGCATGTATTTTCAGCACTTTGGGAGGCCAAGGCGAGTGACTGCCTGAGCCTGCGGGTTCAAGATCAGCCCAGGCAACTTCGCAAGACCTTGTCTCTACAATAAATACTACGCCTGTAGTTCTGGCTACTTTGAAGGTTGAGGCAGAAGGATCGCCAGAATCCAGCAGGTCGGCGCTGGGGTGGCCGTGAGTGTGCCTGGGTGATAGAGTGAGACTTCAACTCAAAAAAAAAAAAAAGAAAACAAAAAACCGAGATGAAAACATATATTCACACAAAAACGTACACACGAATGTACAGAGTAGCCCAAAATGAAAACAACTTCAAATGAATAAATAAAGTGTGGAATATACATACAATGAAATATTATTTGGCCATTAAAAAAAGGAATGAAGTACTGATACATGTTACAGCATATATGATGCCTGAAAACATTAAAGCACCGGGCTTGGTGGCTCAGCCTGTAATCCCGCGCCTTTGGGAGGCTGAGGTGAGTGGATTGCCGGAGCCCGCAGGTTTGAGACCCGCCTGGGCGACTTGGTGAGACCTCATCTCTACAAGAAATCAAAAAATTAGCCAGGTGTGGCAGTGCATGCCTGTAGTTCCAGCTACTTGGGAGGCTGAGGCAGAAGGATCGCCGGAGCCCAGCAGAGCCCGGGAGCAGCCACTGCACTCCAGTCTGGGCGACAGAGTGAGACTCCAACTCAAAAAAAAAAAAGAAAAAGAAAAAAGAAAACAAAGCATTACACAAGGTAAAAGAAGTCCATCACAAAAGACCACAACCACATAATATATGATTCTACTTATAGAAAATGTCCAGAATAGATAAATCTATAAAGATAGAAAGTAGATTAGTGGTTGTTTATGGTTGAGGGGCAGAGAGGCGAAGAGCAGCATCTGATAACGGATACGAGATTTCTTTATGGAGTGATGAACTGTGGTAACGGTTGTATAACTCTGTGAATATACTAAAAACCACTGAATTATACAATTTAAAAGTGTAACTTTCAATGGTATGTGAACTATTTCTCAATAGAGCTGTTTTAAAAAAAAAAGTTTCTGATGTCATATTTATAAAATGAACAAATCTACAGTCATCACAATTACTAATGAAGATTTTTCAAGCAAGTACCCACTGAAAAGTCTCTTTAATAAGTTTACTGAAAGAAGGATAAAATTGGCTTGAAAAGAACTGAGAATACTGGCTTACATGGAACTTTAGAGAACTCTGTTTTTAATTATTTTCTCTATTGAGCAATGAAGTTAGTCTATCTAAAACAAATAAATTCCTATGAAAGAAATGGAAATGACAACTCCCTAACATTCTATGAAGAAATAAGCTTTGAAAGGGCTTATTAGCCAGGTTCGGTGGCTCAGCCTGTAATCCCGCATCTTTGAGAGGCTGAGGTGAGTGGAATGCCTGAGCCCGTGGGTTCGAGACCCGCCTGGGCAGCGAGACCTCATCTCTACAATAAATCAAAAAATCAGCCAGGCATGGTAGCACATGCCTGTAATTCCGGCTACTTGGAAGGCTGAGGCGGAAGGATCGCTGGAGCCCAGCAGGTCGAGGCTGCGGTGGCCAGGAGTGGCCACTGCACTCCAGTCTGGGCGATAGAGTGAGAATCCAACTCAAAAAAAAAATAAAGGGGTTATTACTCTTTACCTATATTCTGTAAGGCTGTTTGATGCAAGCTTTGGGAGAAGTGGGAAAATACTAAATAAGGCAAGAGTAAACTTTTTTCTCTCCAACTCTTACATAGAGGCCCTAAACCTAGCAAATGCTTTAAAAAAAATAGTTCAAAAAATTCTGAGGCCCAGAATTTTTTTCTTCTCTTTTTATTGGGAGGAGGGAAAGAATAGAATAAATCTAATATAACTAGAAAAAAATACATTTAATTATTTCATTTTCCTTCCAAAAATTTTCAGTCTTTATGTTTACTCTCTTTTTAAAATTTTACATCAGATAAAAAAGTTCCAGCCTAGGGATTCTGTAGAATCTTGCACTGGTTAAATTATCTCAATAAATTTAAAAAATCCCCATTGTCTTGATTTTTATCCCCTTCAACACTGCTTTATTTATGTGTAAAATAATTTACATATTTATGTATCATCATAGATATACTAAGTAATAGGAAATTCTGTTTAAAATAGTTTTGATGTTCACAGGCACTGTTAAAAAAAAAATATATATATATAATACCCCTTCATCTATTAATTTCCAGTTAATTTCACCATCTCCATGCTAGTTTTTTAAACTTTTTTAAAAAATCATTTTATTCATTAACAAGTTCTATTCCTATTATGCAGTTGTAAAAGCAAACAATGACAAAGCTTAATGGACCATATCATTCTTTATTAAAAGTGTCTAAAATTTGAATGCATGTGAACTTTTGTGAAATGATCCATAGAGAAATAAGAATACATTTAAAAATCATATACAATGAAGAATGCCTATTATGTCAATAAATGCAAAGAACAGTAAAACAAACTGTATACTTGACTGAAAGATAAAATCTGTATCTTTGAGCAGTTGATAAAATAACCATACTAATGAGAGTGTACTTACCTGGTTTTGGCACTGAGTTGGTCACTGACTGGGGAACCTTTTGGTTAATTAACTCAACACAGTGTCCAGGGAAGAGTCCCACCTGAAAAAAAGTGACAAACAGAGATTCTAAACCAGCAAGCAGACCAATAGTGAACATTGCCAATTCAGTTCCAGTAAAGTATTCCACAGTCCCTCCCAAGTGTTCTATTATTCCAAGACTCTAAATAACAAATGATGCCAATTACACAAATAATAAAACAATCTGTTGCTATGAGTATGCACAGTTAAATAGTTAAGTTTATTTAGTCTTAGTTTTTAAATTCCCAAACTTTTTCACACCAGTTAATATATTTAGTTTGACAAGATATGCATGTGTGCAATAGGTAAAATTTTAACATTTAATAACTCACTATGATGAAATCTCAATCTACTTGTGTTGATATCTTGTTGCCAACTTCTTATGTTTATTGTCATCTGTATGGTTTTTTTTTTTTTTTTAAATTTACACTAACCACAATTCAAGTTGTTGTGATTTTTCTCTTTACTCTCCCATGGGCTTCATGAAAAAAATGACACGATAAACAAATTTCTGAAACAATTGTTCATTAAAATCCTGGTACTCTCTACCGTTAAATAGCTAGTAGTACATGGATAAGAGAGAAAGCAAGAGAAGAAAACAGTTAGTCTCAGCAGTGGCAATAAACTTTATAAAGCACAGCACAATGACCTTTTAGCAGAATTGCTTGCATGGTTTTAGGCAGAATCCTAATAAGTTGTATTCCGAAAATACTGAGTTCCAGATCATTCAGAGATATTTTCTAGACAACAGAATAAATACAGAGATAAACAGCATGGAAGCAAAAGTAAAAAGGAAATCTCTACCAATATTTATAGATGTTTCGTAGATAGGAATATAAATGGGCTGTCATGCAGCAGATGTTAAAACTGAAACATGAAAACTACATCACTTTGTATATCCCTCTGTTGACAGACTCTGGGGAAGAATGGAATAGTCTTCCAAGAGTATGAGTCATCATGAAGTCCTGAGCTGTATAATTTCCATCTGTATGGAATTATTTTTGCATAATCATTTGCTGCATTCTTATTTCAATTTCTGGATCAATAGTCTACAGCAGTCTATCAATAGCCTATGGCATCTTCAAATTATGAAGATGAAAGCAGTTATCATGAATTGAAAGGTTACTAGTATATTATCAGTTTTGTTCAAAAGATTTTAATTTGGGATTCCTATGCATTGTATTACAAAATGCTGTTTTAAGTATTTGCTTTATTGATGAAATTCTGCAACATATTCTACCAAACTTCCTGTTTTACTAAACAAGTAGAAATTCTTGGGCAACCCCTTCAGGTCCCCTCCCACTGTGGGAGCTTTTCTGTCCTCTCAGTAAATCCTGCTTTCATTCTAAAAAAAGAAAAGAAAAAGTCTTTCCAAGATTGGTTAGAATCAGGTAAAAATCAACTTGAAAAATCCTCGTTTTTCTCTTATACAGGTCAGTTGTCTTGAGAGGGCATATGGAGCATGATTAGCAGTGTAACCTCAAGAGTAAGTGTCTAGGTTCAATCCTAGGTTGCAGCTTACTAGATTGGGTGTGAAACTTAATTTCTTTGTGTTTTAGTTTCTTCATCTAAACATGATAATAATAATGCCTATCTCATAAGGATTGTGATGAGAATTAAATGGACTAGTATCTGTAAAATGCATAGGGTAATCAATCACTTGCTAAATGTTATCTATAATTATCCCAGTACGTTGGTTACCAGAAGACCTAGAGGGCCCTAGCTCTTTCATCAAATGAATATTACACATAATACCACCTTTTGTGTATATCTTAAGTTTTTTCATTCAAATATCAATCTTTCCATAAAACTCTAATTCATTTCAATTTATAAACAAATGCAATCTATAAGAAAAAAAAGACCAGGTTTTAAAACTTGGCTCACCCATTTATTAGGTTCTGTGATCTGGAGCAAACTGCTTAATATCTTTGTCTTAATTTTCTAATTTGTAACATTAGGGATATTACTGTCTACATCTCAAGAATTTATATGAAAGCACCTAGCCTAGTTTTTAAATTAGAGTATCTTCCAGCAAATAAAAACAAGTTTATTGTCATTTCCTCGCAAAAACTGAACAAAGCTTAACAAACTTCTTAGGAAATTACATCATATATGTCACATTTTCACCTTTTAAATTTATCACAATGCATTAAGCTTAGGTATATGAGGGATATGTTAGTGTATACTATGTAGAAATAGATCCATAGTAAATTCATTTAATGCCTAACTCCAATCCCTGCCCACTCATCTCACTTTATTACAAAGTGTAATATTACTAAATTTTATCTAAACTATCCAGTTTCCCAGACTCCCTGTATACAGGTGAAGCCAAGGGATATGTAAAAACAGCTCTGCTGCTACTATCCTGTCTCTTTCTTTCCGCTGTGAATATAGGCATCATGACTGGATGTATAGTAGTCATTACTTGACCATAAATGAAAGGTCAAGAAAATCTTACAGACTTTTGCCTAGCATCTTTAAGTTTCTGACCCAACAGTGGCTTCAGTCACCTTTTCTGTCACTTTTCAGTTTTTTGAAGCCAAAACTCAGTTCTATAAATCTGTGAAAGGCAAACAGATTGTATTTTCTATCACAAATTTTCATTACAAAAATGAAACTATGTTCTGTTGAAAATACACATAAGAATGTAAATAACACTAAATATATACTTAATGAACATTTATAGTTTTCTGATGAATACTTAACCTAATATTTTACCAAGTATAAACAATTCTGATAAAATGTCAATTGATAAAAGTGACAAGAACTCTGGCAATATGATCTATTAACTGTTATCTAGTTTCCTATGTGATTCTTTCTGCAGTAGTGATACTTTTTGAAGCTTTAATTTATATGGCTGGAGAGGAAGAGGGGAATTGAGTATACTGGCAGGGGTCAAAATGAGATTCAATTCTAGAAAGAGTTGGAAAAGGACCAGAATTTAGGGCTTTGGAAGGTAGAGAAGTAGGTGACGCAATAATACAACGACAAGAATAATGTAGAAATAAGGCTAGAACAGGTTAGCAATGGGCTTATAGGAGGAGAGTGAAGTTTTACTTTGGTAGGTTTCAATCAAGTCTTTGAGATAAAGTGAGAAGAAGCCAGAGATGCTATTATATCCCATGGTGTGCTAATAAATGTTTAACAACATCTGTCTATGGGGGAAAGGCCTTCATTTACAGTGTTTGCCAAGTTCATGATAACATGAAGTGATTTCAAGCTACCAACTTGATACAACTGAACACAAAATTGAAAAGAGATGCAGAGTAACACTCTGCTAGGTAGTATTTATACGATACAGATATATTAGATGGAAAGAACCTCAACAGCATAAAGAATAGTAAAATGTAATAAAATAATTACAAGAAGATTTGATTATTACCTTTGGTTTTAATACAATTCATTTCGTTGTAAACTTGTATACTTTAATTTTTAATACTGGCTGTTTGACAACTATCCTACAAACTTTCACCACTGGCTCTATGTCTATGCTTTCTACCTCTAACAGCTCTTGGGAATCCATTTCCAGCAGCTTGACAAGTATATGGCTTACTCTCTGGCACTACAAGAATAAAGAGAGACACAAAGGGAACAAACCATAATATGGTTCTTCTGATCTTCTTCTACCTTGAAATAAAATCAAGTGTGGCTTCAAAAGTGAGGATACATATTGAAAAATATTTTGATGTAGAAGGAATATTAGAAAAGAAACTACTCCAATAAAATAAACCTGGGACTTTGGTAACAGTAGGAACAGAAAGGAATCATTGCTTCACAGTGAACTCTAAACCTAACTAGAGTCTCTCTGAAGCAACCAACAAAAACCTAAAAAGTAATTTCAACATAATAATATCATCGCTGGGAAAGGTGGCTCATGTCTGTAATCCTAGCACTTTGGGAGGCAGAGGCAAGAGGACTGCCTGAGCCCAAGGGTTTGAGACCAGCCTGGGCAACTTGGTGAGACCTCGTCTCTACAATTAATAAAAAACCTAGCCAAGCATGGTGGTATATGCCTGTAGTTCCAGCTACTTGGAAAGCTGAGGTGGAAGGATCACCTGAGCCCAGCGGATTGAGGATGTGGTGGCCATGAGCGTGCCACTGCACTCCAGTCTGGGTGACAGAGTGAGACTCCAACTCAAAACAAATAACAATAATGTGCTTATCACTGACTTTTTGAGAAAAATGCTACTTTAATGGTTTATTTATTTAATTTATGGCTAGTGAAACTTCAAGGCTATTAGTAGAGCAAAATATTTGTTTTCTTACGCTTAGTAAAGCACTGCTCTTACTCCCAGAGATGTGTAACAGATTTTTCAATTGGAACTATTTGGCCTCAGAGTTAAAACTCCAATTTTTCATTTTCTCACTACAGCGCTCTATCCTCCCAGGTCTCTAGTGTTTATATTCTATAACAACTGAAGTTAAAATTTAGAGACATCCTATCCTCTTCATATTTCCCCCCTAGGGTAACTATTCCCCTTCTTATCTTTTTTTGGCGAGGAGGAGAATTGGACCTATCCAGTATGCATCTTGAGGTTAACCATTTGAACTTTTAAAATCAATACCCTTAGTTTCCTTGCAATAGTAACCTTTTACCAAATCAATCCAGCAACTCCTCAAACTAAATCAATATATTTCCATACTTCCATGTCTGTGTATTGCCAGAGAAACTCACATCACTGAGATTGGAACCATTGCAAATACACAGTCCGCTGTCTAGAAATTATTATTTTATTACCATCTAATTATTTTCTCCCTACTCCCCAAAGAGTTTTAGAGAACCTACTCTTCTTTTCTTTCTTTCTTTCTTTCTTTTTTTTGGTGAGAAAGCAGGAGTTTATTAAGATAGAAGAGCTCCCAAGTGGGAGGGGGCACAAAACAGGGTTATCCCAGAACTTACGCTTTAGAGTCTCTGCTCAATCTGACCTCCATGCCCCTGCCAACACCATTCCAGTACAGTTGATCAGACAAGTCAATATGTCAATAGCTTGCCTCCTACAATTTAGGGACTAGGTTCAAATT